ATGGCGTTCCGAACAACCGGTCTATTTAGAAACTTGGCAGGTGGACGGACGAGATCTTTACAGCTTTAACAGGCTTTATGGAGTGCAACAATATACTATTGTCTTTTCTAAATTTTGGGCATTATTTTAAAACAGCTACATCGAATGCAGAAGGAGTCGGTTTTTTTTTTATCTTATTTTTAAGAATTAGGTCCATCTTTGAGGAAGCTCCTTCTGTGTCTTGTTCCTTTTTTCATTTCCTAATGAACATCATCATAATCCTGCTTGTGTAAGATTCCACTTAAATCTACAAAAACAAATAGAGGAAATCAGCATGATGATGAACGTAAAGTTCTACTTTATACTAGTTTTGAATGGGAATTTAGGTAAAGCATATTAATAATGAGTTTCTTTCAGAGCTGATATCCTTAATCTTAATATAAAGAAGTAGACATTTGCCATTTCTGTTCTGCACTCAATGGTGGTAATAAAAGGAGTGCTACTATCGAACCTGATCTCCCCGCTTGAGCCCAGTCTCTGCTGCTTTGCTGCCTTCCTCCACTGACTCCACAAAGATGCCGAATCCTCTTTCGCTGCCTCCCTGAATGCTGAAGTAGAGCGGCGACTCCCTGGACGCTTTCTGCAGCGTGATCTGTCGCCACTTAGCTTTGGCTGCACAGGCTATATTCAGCAGCCGCAAGTGGCCCTTCATTTTCTGAATGTGTGAGGGAAAAAGAGGAAGGTTTGTGTGCAAATTTCAGAGCGTGAAACAGCAAACTCACAAATGCGGCCGAGCTCGATCTAAACATAGAGAGTAACGTGTGCTGCGCGCGTACCGCCACTTCGAGAAGCTTCTCGAAGTCTTCCAGGAAGCGTGTCATGGCCGGGTCACCCTCGAAGTCGTTGAAGTGGTTGTTGACCCACAGCAGCACTATTCTTGTTACCTGTCGTGTGACGAGAGAGTTTTAATTAGCGGAACCGCACGTTGTGTTACAGCCCGGCGGACATTCAGCACTTTAGTAATGCCTCGCTCGAGAAAGTATCAACGACAGTCGCTGCTGAAGTGTTGGATTCTCCAAAGGTCAGAGTAGAACGTGATGCATCAATCAATCTACTGTCTTCCAGCATTTAATCTGCTCCTTTTTAAAATCTTTTGTAACTACCCCTGTTTGGTATTAGGATTCCTCTTTAATTGAAGCTGAAAAATTGTGGAGTGAATGAACAGCACATGAAGACGATATCGACAACACAGAACTAATCTTAGGTTAATGCAGTTATGGACAATGGGCGTGTCAGACTGACAAATCGACACAGCGCTCACACAAGAACGGCTGAGCTGGCTGAACTGGTATTGATCGGGATATTGACCAGCACCACAGCATGGGAATTTACATGAACATGCATTAATACAAACTACACAGGTAAGTCCTGGGGCACATAGTGTTTGAAGTGGACTAAAACTGCAGCAATGGGTAAACATTTTCACTTCTCGTTGCATTATTTCCAATGACACGCACCGTGTCCCGCAGGCTGTCCACTTGGAACCACTCCAGCAGCTTCTTGCCGACCTCCATGGGACTTGACAGGAAGGTTCTGTAGGTCAGAAGGAAGTCCTCGATGTAGGTGGGGTCAACGACCGATGGCTCTTCCACCAGGTGCATGATCAGACGCTCCGGGGTTCCCTAGAGTCAAAAAAAAAATTAACAATATGCACACATGGGGATAGAAAACAACATATGGTGTACACTCTTACACATGTAAGACAGCTGAACTGACACAAGGGGAAACATGTTGTTCATGTGTTTGCATGCATACATTAACACTCTAAAGGTTTATTCAGGTTTTGTGAATATTATTATCACCAGGGCAGAGGTTTCTGGGGGAAACAATTCATTCAGGGAACAGAAACCACAAAAGCGCGCACTCTGGTCTAACTGAAAAAAGAACAACAAAGGCCAAAGCAGAAACGGAAACGCTAACACTTGTGCGAATTGACTCATCTCCACTGCATGTGTTCGGAGCCGGCAGCTTCCCTCGGATTGGCAGCCAAAAGAATCATTCAGGCCCATTATCTGATCGATACCTGGCTGCCTCAGGAGGCTGGAGTACAGGATCTAAAGGCCTTGGAGCACACTCCATTGTATGGTACAAGAAAATGCTGTGGCAAACACTTAGGTGCTAACAGTGGCTCGTAACTATGGGGCCGGGACACAATAGGAGCTGCATGAATGGTTTTTTAATGATTCTGCTTGTGGAGGAATGGGAGTTTATACAATGAAAAAAAGGGAAGGGTTGAGGACTGGGATTGGATGAAATGATAAATCAACATTTATCACATATACTGATATATATATATATGGGAATGATGACATATATATCAACTATGTGAAACACGACATCAACTTCGATGATGATTTGTTTCATTTTAATATACAGTATATGTTGACTTGTAATGACCAGCAGGTGTTATACGTTGTTGTTTATTCATATGTAAAAAAAAATAATAATAATATTCGGGTTTTTACAAATTGCCAGTGAGCTCCCCCTACGTTCCAAAAAAAATATTTATATATAATTTTTTTGCAAAGCTATTATCAAAGCTATTATTAACTGGTAACAAAAGTGAAGAATTCCTGCAAAATAAACCAACTCAACAACTCAATCAGCAGAGGTAGAAAGTGAAAGAATCTGGATTTGGACTTTTATTTTCTTATTAGTTCAAGATTCAGATCCTAGTCGTAGTATTTAAACCCTTCTACTATGAAACTAATCACATGGCCCTTGGATATGATCCTCTTCTTATTGTCTTTCACTGACCTTTTGAAATCCTATAATCTTCAAACAAACACTTCTCCTGAGCAAAACGTTTCTCCCTCTAGTTCCACAAAATAAATAAAACAATAACATTTTTTTAATCCACTGACCTTGATGACAATATGTCCTTTCCGTGTCCCACTGCGGTCGAGCTCCCGGTGCTCCTTCACCATCACTATCTCCCCCTCCTCCTCCACCTTGTGCATGTTCTTCTCCACATGGTTAAGAATCCTCCAGTAGTCCTCCTGGGCGATGCAGACGAACTGGTCGAGGACGACATGGGGACAACGGGTGAACTTGTAGTAGAGCAAAATATTGCTCTGCACCACATTCGGAAACTCAAACAACAGCACGGATGAAACATGACGGCTTGTGGAGAGAGGCATGGAAAGTAGCGATGCCTGCCGTTCCAAAAACACCAACTTCTCAAAAAGGATTAAGGTACGGTCAGGGTCTGTGGTTCTTCAAAATCCCTTCATCGTGTCATTTGGCAAAAGACAACTCTTTGACGCGGGAGTTAACCCGACTTCCTTGTAAAGAAAAAGTGCAAATGCATGACTTTTAGCTTCTCTGCAGCTTCTGTCCTGTCACTTCTCCTTGTCATCTACTGTGCTTCTCTTAAATAACACAGCAGCACTACCTCACTCACTTCCTGTGTATCTTAAGACAGGAAATATTGTGTTGGGGAACTGGGCAGTGTGGACAGAGATGACAGTGATCTTGAGCACGCACTCATCTTCTTTTAAACACTGTTGCCTCACAATCTATCTATTTGTAATTTATCAGAATAAGAGTCAGAAATAATGTATTGATCCCCAGCAGGAAATTGTTGGTGTTGCAGCTGCTGCTCCCGTCAGAGCATTTATGAAAGAGCAAGAATATGAGCGTATAATAAACAGTAAGAGACAAAATTATTTTTTAAAATACAAAAAAGTAACGATAACACAGGAAAAGATAAAACCTGTGCGGCCTGGTTTATAGTGCTTGACCAAAGTACTGAACAAAAGTACTTTAAAAAATGTAAGAAAGTAACAAATATATAGAAACAGGAATATTGCCTAAAAAAAAGTAAAAATAAAAACAATTAAGAAAAAATAACAAGAACAACAATAATAATAATAATAATAATGACCAGATAAAAATGGCTTAACTATGGTATTAATTTCAGACTTAACTCTACAGTAACCGTTATCCCAAAAATGTCCATTCACAAACATAGACGCAAAATAGTGTTTTAACTAAAATAACAACTACATATAATAACTTCAGTCGTTGTTGTCTGAAATACAGGATAGTTCAATCTATCCAAGTTGCTTAAAAGCAGGTTTTACAAAATAAACTTTTTGTACAAAAGGAACGTCTACCGTTTTGTAAGTAAATCTGTGAATCATGTTGTGCTAAAATTCAGCAGTTCAAGTCTGGGCAAAAGTAAGTGATAATGGTAAAGAAAAAAAAACAAAATGTAATGATAAAACTAATACTGACTTGAGGAGTAAAATCTGTCTTGTCCTAAGTTTTAAAAGTTTAACAACACGATACTGTACACATTTCTTCCTAAAATCATATAATGTCTGTTGGAAATTAGCTTCCTATAACCCAACGCCTGAACATTTACTGCTGTTATGTTGTGACTTTACCTGACAGTCATCGCCTTTGGTGCGAACCTCTCCGTTCATGTACTGTTTGTCCAGGGACGGTGAGATCCCAAAGCTGTTGCCCATACAGAGCACCTCCACTCGTCCTTCTTGGTGGCTAATTTCGACCGCGCCATTCAGGATGACGTACCAGAGGTCCAGCTGCCAACAGACGATCGCAGGTGAAACATTTGTCACTAGACGTCTTCATTTGGACAAAAACCAGTGCTGTCCATGCATACATTGTACATGCATGTTTTTCAACACCTTTTTCCATATACTAGAGTTTTTTCCCTCTAAATTTTTTTTTAAATACATTTTTAAAATAAAAAAAAATGTAAATTTTTCTCTCTCTCATTTGTTTGTGTAATTGAACAATTGAAGACGAAACACAATCTTATAAAGATAAGTTAAGTTAATAATTTATAAATCAATTTCTGTTATTGGAAAAATAAGGAGTTAATCAGTTAATATGAAATTTCATAATCTTTTCCAACCTCGGTCTTACCGTCAACAGCAGCAGGATTTAAAAACAAAACTGCAGTAACTCAACATTTCCGTGCGTTACTTACCTCTTGTTTGTCATGCAGTATGACTGTACCCGCCTGCTCCACCACTTCAAACACCATGACACTACACAGGTCTCTCCGCACAGACATGGTCATGTTGGCAAACGCTGGTAGCTGATGCATAAACTCCAGAAGTTGCTCTGTTTGGCACAAAAGTACAGACCGGGGAAGAAGAAAGAAAGTAAAGAAATTTAGAAAGTGGCAAGGAAAGCAAAATGAAAAGTACTTTTTAAAGCAGTTATAAACATTAACTGATTTGTCTAAACCAAATCACTGTAATCTATCTATCCATCTATGTATCTCTCTATCTATCTATCATCCATCTATCCATCCATCTATCGATCCATACATCCATCCATCCATCCATAAAATGAGAGCATACATTTTTGCCATCATCTGACCCAGTCCTTCAAACAATATGACATGAGGAAAGAATGTTGAATACAGCGCAAGAGTTTTATATATTTTTTTCTTTTTATAAAACGTCATAGCCTTTAAACATCCAGTTGGCTCACAGAAAGCCAAGATTCCGATGTGGTCACCTTCTCTCCCTGAGCCTTACCAGTCCTGCTAATGAGGTTGTCTCTTTAATTGCATGTTTAATAAGACTATATGTGGAGTGACTCTATTTAGAGAGCACTTTGTGAGAGCGACATTTGTGTATTTCCCCTGTGCGTGCTTACTGAATGACGGCTTGTGTCAGTGAATGATGGATCTCATTAACAAAGAGAACCAAAATAGAAACCGTGAGTGCAGAGGTCCACGCAGGAAAAATGGGAAATGTGAATTCCTGCAAAAACTCCGCTTCGAACGAGGCTTCATTGAGTGATTGAGGAGCGAAACCATTTACAATTTAAGAGCGCAGTTAAACTCAAGTACGTAATGAAGGGTGGGGTTGATTATAAGGTGGGCAAGGCAGAGACTGACCGATGTCGTCATCGTTCCGGTCGACCGGGTCTTTTTCCAGACACTCTCTGACGAGATCCCGGCCCAGGAGAGTGTCTGCGGCTCTCTCCAGATCCTCATCTTCCTCCTCCTCTTCCTCGCTGTCCACAGCAGCTTCTGGAAGTCCAGACAGGTCCACGTCTCCCAGCTCGCTCTCTGTGGCCTGAGACAAAGACAATGCAGGGATTTACAGTAACAGTAACAGAAGTGTATGAAGAACAAAGTAATATAAAAATAAAAAGTCATGTTTGGCCTTTTATTTCACTGTAAAGATTTTGCTTATGTGAATATTTAAGTGGGGACGTTTTTCTTTCTGACACAGCCTTTATAATCTTTCATTAAAGTGATAATGAACTTGGATTTAACACAAGCACTTAAAAGAAGAACAATTAAAAAGGTCATTCAAATGGCGTTGTACAGTTTGAACTATTGAACAGTTTAATTGATGGCAGTAAAGTATGGTCAGGATGACGTTGAAGTTATAGACGTGGATTAAACTGCTGTTTTGTTGTGTTCCATATTAAAGGCATGAATCACGCTGTCACCGTGGGAAACAAGTGTGACGCCTGAGATACTTCACATCAACAGTTGTGTGTGTTTGTGTGTGTGTGCGGAGGACTTAAGGGAGATTGTAGTTAGTGTGATATCAACATGTGTTGGGTGTAAACTTAAGATAAGATAAAATAGATTGTATTTTATTTAGAGTAATTATTCCTAAATGTTTGTATAAATATATTTGCTATCGTCATTTTAGGCAAACAGATTACACCTCTGTTGATCTGTTTCATTTTTAATGTATTTATTTTGATTCCTATAAATCAAGGTCTGTGTATCTGAGGCACCAAGTCACAAAACTACAAATTATCATGAACTATATAAATAACTCCGAAAACAAAAAAGAGTGCAAGACTCAGAGCTGTCACATGCCTTTTTCTTCACTTCCTGTGAGTATATCAAGGTTGTGTTCAACTAAACAAGCACAGGATTTATACTGATTAATTAAAACAGTGACTGAACTGAAATTAGTACAACATTATATTCCTTTAATTGGTGGTGAGTCATGGGATTTTTTTTATTTTTAAATGCTAAACCTAGTATTCCGAAAGCAAACTTGGAGGGAAAAAACACAAATATTCTCAATATAAGATGCCTAAACTATGCAATATATATATATAAGTATATATATACATATATATATATACATATATACATATATATATACATATATACATATATGTATATATATATATATATATATATATATAAACACATGATGCATTTTTGTTCAAGGTAAAGTTGTATAAAGGAAAGCTAAGTATTCAACCTGAATCTACTTAACATGCTGTACTCTGGGACATTAGGTACTAAATGTACTAACACTTCTGTCATGGTGAAGAAGTACTTTGATGCCCCCTTTTTGATGTATAGCCTTAGGTTTTTTAAATAAACTTAAAGAGTCTCTTAGTTATTTTCAGCAAATATATTGAAATATATTTCAGGTTTTCTTTAAACACAGTGGTTGCTCCGCTTTTGCCGTTTACATTTAATTTGCCTCAAGAAATGAAAAGAGATGAGCCTGGAAAAAAACGGGGGGGAAAAAAACTTCCCAAGTAAAAATGTCAACTGTAAGTGATTGATGTGAAGTATTTATTCCCTTTTCTTCACCAGACTGAAGAAAAAAACCCATAATAAATTACGCACAACAATCCATTAATTAAATGAACAAGACACTGCAAAGATGCAGGCACTGTGGGAGATGTGAAGAGAGTAAACTTATTTAAGCAACAAATACACAAACAAAGTGTCTTATTTATATTTAAGCAGGTTTATATTCTACGAAATTATTTTAATGCTACTAGATGGTTTTTATGTACTGAGATATTACAAAAAAAAAACCCCAGATAAATGACAGATCTTTAGGATGCTGTTTCAGGTTTAGACCAACTATGTAAAAAAAAAAAAAGTCTAGCTCTCACTATATAAACATAAGGTGCTATTTTTACGCATGTAAAAATAGTGCGGTTTGTAAAAGGTATAAATAAAATGGCTTTTTTTGAAAATCAGTTTCAGTACTTATTGTCTCCATTTTTATATCTGTTCATTTTGTTACTATCCAGACAGAGCCGGAGTAGGGGGCACCAGTTAGGACTGCAAGTTATTACTGCAGTATTATTTATTTTATTTATTGTTGGAATTGTGCTATTCTGAGGGGCAATAGCATCACCCCCTTCAGAACCGACTCTGGTGATGTACATCCAATAAACCAACATCAAACAAATAGCAAAAGTGAAAAGGAACTTTTTACCACTTCGTAAGAGAAAGTTTCATATAAGCAACACGAGATGCTGTAAAATCTGTGCAGACGCCAGGCCTTGAGTTTCTGGACTTGTCGGAATGTGGATGCACTGAAAAAGTGGCGACAGCAGAGGTTCAATGCGGGGGCAATAACACATCACAATGGCCTCAATCTGACCAACTGCCACTAAAATATCTTTTATTCCTCTCATAAAGCCAGTTCACTGACAATACAGGATGTGTGCACTGTATTGTAAATCCCCCCCGGTCGCACAGAAGAAGTTCATCTAAGAGGACTCGGCTTCAAGAATGGAAAAAAAGTCAAACAAAAGTTCGGAGTGAGAATGAGAGAGCGAGAGAAGAAGAAGCCGGCTTAAAAAAAATGTGCAGAGAAGTCAGAACCCCAGTGAGCGCAGGGTCATCTTCAAGACCAGTGTAAACAAACCCACCGCCAGGTCAGGGACGAGCTAATGGGATCAGAGCCATGTGGTAAAAATCTCATCTCAGGATGAAAAGATCAGGTCCCTGTTCTAAATGTCTGACCCCGTGTGAACTGACTTACATTCACACCTTTAAGCACTCAAGGACAAGCTGAGAAGACAACAGAGACAAGTTCGTGTCCAAGTGTAGAATGAAGTGAGATGGTGAAAAATAAGGTTGTGTAAGGATGCTCGGTAATGATTATAGTCCAACAACAACAACGAGTTAAGGATGCTCGGTAATGATTATAGTCCACCAACAACAACAACAACAAGTAAAAAAAAGGTGTGAAATATTAACATCTAAATTATGATTTTTGTATTTCTCCTCCAGCAATATACAGGAGAAAAAAAAAGTTGATTTTCCACAAGTAATTGAGATTAATCCACAGCTACAGCTGATAGTGATTAATCTGATAATATTTTTAATTATTTACCAGCTCCACAGCTACCTTGTGATTAATCTGATAACATTTTTACTTATTTACCAGGCCTAATTCGTTAGATTTTTATATGAAAGTTGTCATAATTCATTTCATTTCATTCTTGTATTAATACCATTCCTATAAATAACGATCCTTATATATAAAATAATATCCTTAGTTTGCCCATGCCTGTACTAAATGAAAGTGTTAAAATAAGATACATTTCCAGCTACCTTTATTTCAAAACACCAACTAAAATATTGATGAACTTTCCTGGCAAGTCATCAGGATGCTAAATACATAACTGGACGGCAGAGAGAGCGCTGAAGGTCATAGGGGGCAGAGTGTTGACGCAGACAGATCCAAACTTACTACGCTTTACACATTTATACCAATGCCGTCGTCTTTGGACGACTGAGCTAAAAATGCTTCTCATCTCTCACCTGATATATATCTGAGAGGCTGCTGCTCCCTGAGTCGCTTGCGATGCTGCATCCAGACTGGCTGGGAGGCACGTGCATCACCTGCTGGTGGGCGTGGTCCGTTAGGTGCATCTTATTGAGGTCGGCAGGAAGCTGCTCAGACAGGAAGGAAGAGGTAGAAAAACAAGAAGAGACATGTAAATTAGCTGAAGAGGATATGGGGTTCAACAGAGGTAAACATACAAACTGACTCACATAAACAGAGTTGTTTCATTAGTCTGAAAGCCACGGCTGGTTTGGCACTGTTTCACACATCTTAATCCCGATTAATTAACATGATGAGGACGGAGAGCGAAAAGACACTTTTTCGAGAGACTGGGTTGATAAATGACGGTTTTGTTGTCGTCATGCAATATTCAAGTCAGCCGTCGGACAAAGAAGTATCAACAGTGCTTTCCTATTATAGACCTGTTCTAGTGTAGCATGAACCCAGCCCATTCAATTTTCCATTGCTATGTCACGGAAACGCCACGTATCAGCTTTATGATACTGTGTGTTCAGAGTTTATAATTGCATATTTAAATGTACAAAAAAAAACCCCATATATCTTCATTAAAAAAAAAAGTCTCAACACAAGCTATTCATTCAAGGTTATATGTACATAAAAAGAGCTTGGTTTCACAGACTAAAATTATAAAAAAAAAAATTCTGCTCTAATTAAAAATGACTAATTCTATGATGTCTTTCAATTACTGTTGTTTCTGTGCAACACTTTGGCCAACTGTGATTTTTAAAGTTGAGTTGAGAAGAGTAATCTCTCTGTTTATCGCACTGTATGTCTAATGTATATTTAATGTGCATAAATCCCACCTAGATTTATGCACATTCATTATGTTTTTATCAGTAGGATAAAGAAAAGCGCTGCAGTCAAAACACACCCCTGTGTCTGTAAACATGAAGTGGAAGAATTATAACAATAAATGGACCTTGAAACTGAGAGAGTAGTTACTGCAATGAGCCGGAGTAATTTATTTACTCTAGATTTATTTTATGAATAAAGCAACAAATTCCAAAAAAATACTGACATCAAGTATAAGGATAATGTCAAAGATTCCAAAAAAGAAACTCATGGATCAGTTTGAGACCTTTGCTCTACTCTGTGCTGCAGTGAGCCACAGACAAACACTCAATAATTCCAATGTTAGATAGATGGATAGATAGAGAATGAATGGAAAGAAATAGAAGAGCGAAAGAGAGAGCGTGGTCTGATTATATACAGTATTTGCGGTCAATGAAATAAATAAGCGTGAAATGAAACTATCGCACAGCAAATTTATGAGCGTTGGCAAAAGACCCACAATTATATTGAGTCAAACGCGATGAACGTGGCTGCACCTGAACCTGGTGTTTCAGTGAACTAGGTTGAGGGCAGACAGGAACTGAACAGCTGTGGTGGTCTCATGGCATTTATTGACACTCTTGACTAATCCTGCACTAATCCCCACTTTTCCCTTCTCCCAGTAGGCCGAACCGAGATGTGTGTGTGAGAGTGAGAAAGAGAGCGAGAGAGGTTGATGGGGGTCTTTCTCACCCCTCATACATTATGAATGAGAGTTATGGGATTAAATATAAATGTGCAATATATCTCCCACTTTATGGTTCTGTCATGTCAAAGAACTGCCACAATCACAGGAGGATTATGCAGGAGGTAAACGTTATTTGCCACACAGATGAACTCCACTGAGCCACACAAAGTCAACACCAGTGTAATAAGCTCTTAAAGAACAGCAGATACGGGCTGTTGACTATGTGACGCTTTTAATTAAAATTAAAAAAACATATTATTTATTAATAAGCACCCGTGAGGTAGAGTGCAGTTTGCTGGGCTAATTAAAACCACGGGCGATTTTCCGGCTTTAACAAAATCAATATCCTGGTCGCTTGCGTGAATTGAAAGGGACCAGTAGAGTGGAGAAGTCACTGTTACTGTCAGTTTCTGCCCCGTATGAGTGCAGCTACTTGTAACAGAAGATGAAAAAAAAAATGAAAAAAAGAAAAGAAAAACCAAGCTGGTACCAATCCAAGCTGGCATCAGGCCCACAGCGTTCGTATCATTTGACCAAAAGCTGCGCAGACCAGTCACAACAAATTAGGCCAGTGTTTTACATTTTCCCTTCTTCAATAAAACCTCACCATATTCCACTCCCTGCCTCCAAATATAAACATGACATTAGATGTCAGTCCGAGTGCTTGGTTCCACCCACAGTATTTACCCACTGATAAAATGGGCAATAAATACAAGACAGGTCACTTGGGAAGACGTAAGGGAGAAAATCCATTCTTCTGAATTGCTAAAGTACTAGAATAAAACTTCCTTGTACCTTATTAGTCTGGAATTATGTGGTAAGGAGTCCCTGCAGGGGCCACATCATCAAAGTGCAGCAAAAGCAGTGTAATCGGGGTACAGTATGCGATTTGTACAGGTATGACAAAATAATACTGCTCTACAAACGTGACTAACAACAGAGCTCTCCCTGAGGTTCTCAAGTGAACAAAACTACTACTACTACTAAGTGTCATGACCAGTCATATAGAAAGAGGAAATAGACACCAAGAAAAGAGATGTGAAAAAATTGTTAAAAAAAAAAAAAAAATTTCGATAAAGCAGCAATGGAGAAAATTACAAATCCAAAAACCGGTACGCCAAACCACGACATTAGCAAACAGAGAATCTAAAAAGCCTGGGAAATATAAAGTAGATAATGCAAAACTAAAAAAAAATAATATATATATATAGGCTAAGTAAAGAACAAATTAGTGTGTTCTAGTTTTGATTTTTTTTTTAACGAATGACAAAAATAAAATAAAATAAAGGAATCCCAGTACAACACAGTTTTGACAGACACATGCGTAAAGTTTTAACTTAACAGCATTAATACCAGAACATTTTCAATAAAAGCTCATATACGGCAAATATATAATATATGTAAAAAATATAAAATATATGTACTACATGTATATATATTTTCTTTTTTAACATAAAAATGTGTTGTTATACATGATCATACACCCCACAGCTAAGTAACTACAGACCAGTTTGACATGAGCGTACTGTAGTCAGCCTGTAGATGTCAGCACTGACAAACAGCCCATGTGCAGTCAACCTGTACAGATGTCTATTATACTTGAAATATACATGAAAACTTAATGGATTTTAACACAGGTCTTTACCAGGGTGCCTTAGCAGATTAGAGCAGACCCATTAAGGACCATTTAGGCTCGCTTCAGTGATTGGAATTTGATGCAGGCAGCTATAGGTAGCCAGTCGGGCTTCTGTTGTTTTTGTTGAGTTAGTAGTACCCATAGGCAGGAAGGAGGGAGGAATGTATGTAGTAGGACTGCTACATGTCTGTAAGGCACGTGGCGGGATTGTTAGATGTTGCTGATAAGTAGATTCTCCGACGATTTGTTATTAAAGAAGCAGAAAGTTAGGCTAAAGACCTACACAATTTGTGACACCAAAAAAAAACTACTTCCAACGTTAGTATCATCTTGATGCCAGAAAAGATAGGTTACCAAGTGCAGGGCTCAAAACGTAGCTATTTACACTTGTGTTTGCTTTAAACTGCTGTCGCTAACGTGTCGAGTTAGAGCCCTGACCACATCGTTACCCTGAAACCACACAAGTGCGCTGTAGGCAGCAGCCGCTCACCTCTGCACAGAGACTCAACAATGCAGCTGCACCAGAGATGCATCTATTTGGCATTTGATGTGATCTGAACTTTAAGGCTGTTTCATTACTTCAAGACACACTGACTCTTTGGGTTGACTCCGTGTTATTATCTGCGTCTAGACATTGTTGTTTTCAGTTATTATTTCATCCACTCTAGCAGATCTGACTCATTTCTACGACACCGTTTTCATCATTTGTTGAAGATGTTCTTCACTACAATAAAGACTCTCATTTTAAAGGCAGTCTGACTCATTTCTACGACACCGTTTTCGTCATTTGTTGAAGATGTTCTTCACTGCAATAAAGACTCTCATTTTATATGGACAGATGAGGTGTTTATAACTCATCCTATATTTAGTTCAACAGAAATCTGTCATTGGCGAAAAAGCTCAGCTCACTTTCTGTTCCACCGGCTACTATGTTAACTATTTCTTTCCAATATTATATTTTAAAACCTTTAAAACTATGTTTTTATGCATTACCTAATTTGGCGACATTGACTGTAGGCACCTTCAATATACAGGCTCCTATATATTTTATTTATTTATTTTTTTTTATTATCATTCTGTAATACACCTTAGGCTTTGTGATTCGAGCCTGCACGCAACTATGTCGTCTTCTGTACTGGATACTCTACAGAAGATGGAATTAAGAAACTGCAGACAGATGGAGCCGGAGACCCCCGAGACCAGATGTGATTGTTCGAGAAAGAGAGAGGGAGGAAGTCAAAAGGAGAGTCAAAAGGAGGCTACAGAGGGGTATCAGTGAACAATGCAGAGGGAAGAAAGGAAGCACACAATGAGGTACAACAGTGAATGGAGGGAAAGAAAGGTAAAAGGACGGGAACAGATGAAGTCACAAATATTCAGGAATCTACTTCTACCTCAGTACATTCAACCAGGTCTTTAACTCCGTGGGACTGTGTGTAGGCGCGGGGGAAAAAAGAAGAATGAGACTGAGAGAGTCTGTTTGGTTTACCAGCTGAGCAAGGAGGAATGTAATGAATTGAATTTGGAATTAGAGTTGACAAGTGCACAGGCAGGGATGGCACAGCAGAAGAGCAGGAGGTGGCGCTCTCTAAAACACAATAGGAGTAGATGAGAAGTTCACACCGAGAAGACCGCAGACGCGCACAACATGCATTTTTCTCTCTCAAATTTTCATTTTGATGAATAATAAAGAACAAGGGTGAAATGAGGACAGTGAAATCAAATCTTATATTGAAATATAGATGCATATATTGGAGTACTACAGAGGTTGATTTTTCTTTATCTGGGATTGTTTTGATCTCGGGAGGATATATTATCAGTATTCCAGTGAGAAATGGCAATATGACTTGAAGAGCTTTTTCAGAGTTTTCAAAATCGTCAGTTCCACCTGCACTAATAACAAATCCTCTTCTTCACTCATATAAATCGGT